GATTTGATTAATTAATCAATTAAAATTATTTATATTTCAGTGATACTAAAATGTATGTAAATTTTTATAATATTTAATAAAAATTAATTAAAAAATATATTTATTACATTGTTAATCTAAATATAGACAAACTTATAAATAAATAAATAAATTTTCTCAATAGTATTTTTGAGACAAAGGAAAAAATTATTAAAAAAAAAAAAAGAGTTGGGGCACAAGGAGATAGGGGTATTAAAATGAGGGTGGGGGCTACACCGTGAAAAGAATAGGAAGATGAGGAATAAGAAATTAAGAATGCAAATAGTAGATAAATAAATAAATAAGAAAACAAATAAAAAAGGAGGCGTTACCCTTACGCAAAATATAAAATTCTAGAACCATCATCTTTGTGCCCTATAAATGTACCCAAAAAATCTTTGTGAACTATAATTGCCTTCGATTTTCCACCATAGCCGCCAGCTTCTCCGTCGGAATTTCGGCGCTGTTCCTTCCGACCCTGCTCTACGGTTTCCATCTCGGTATGCAGTGTTCTTTCCCTCGATTTCTTCTTTTATCTCCATGTCTCTGAATTAGTAGATAGATCTATGGTGTTTGGTTTTCTATTATTCTGTGAAATTGGGGATTTTTTCGTTCTAATCTTATAACGATCTGATCTGGTGCTAAATCAGGTGTTGATTCGATCGTGTATTGATGGCATCTAAACGCATCCTCAAGGAGCTTAAGGATTTACAGAAGGATCCTCCTACCTCCTGTAGCGCCGGTTTGTTCTTGTTCTTCTCTTCTCGAGTCTCGATTTACCTTTTTTTTAAAAAAAAAATAAAATTGCAACATGCTTGTCTTTCAACTTGGAATCCATTACCTTACCTGATTATGTCGTTAAGTAGCGCTGATTGACTATGCTTGTCTTTTAATCAATTATGCATTTTATTCAGGCGGTTGTTATGTTAATCATGCCATCTATCATATATTAGGGCTGAATTAGTGTTTTTGTCTTATAATAAAGCCATATTTTAAGATTATTGGGGTAATGGTTATCCATGCATAAACTTATTAAATGGATGCCTTTCCCTTTGCCCCCATCCTTTCACGTGAATTAACTATCGAGATGATGCCTGTTTACAATTTAGGTCCTGTAGCCGAAGACATGTTCCATTGGCAAGCTACAATTATGGGGCCTGCTGATAGCCCTTATGCTGGAGGTGTCTTCCTGGTTTCCATCCACTTTCCACCAGATTATCCATTTAAGCCCCCTAAGGTAATTTTTTGTCACTACTTTGCAATTTGGGATGCATTATATGCTGGTGGTGTGACCATATATTAATACCTCTTCATCTTCTTCTCTCTTTTTTTAAGTATGCCTGTTTAAGCCATCTATGCTAATTGTTTATGTATGATATATATATATGTGTGTGTGTGTGTGTGTATTTTTTTGGTGAATAATTGTTTTTGTATGACATACTGTCAAGTGCAGTAAAGTATGCAGCATATAGCTCAATGTCATGTTATTGCTATTTGATTGTCATACCTATCATCACCGAAAAGTAGTGCAGCAATATCATTCTTATATTCATTCCTATCGTGTTTTGTTGTAATGTTCTTTAGAAGCTGTGAGAGATAAAATAATACAAAAGAGTGTCCTTGGAGAATGATGAGTGCTTTGCTTCCTATTACTTCATCTGTCTGTCTACAATGCGCAACTCTCTTTCTGCGAATGATCCCAAATGAGTATCTGCCTTGTAAGGGAAAAGTGTCATGCTCTTTATTTCACTATACCCTTCACAACACATTTTGGAAGTATCTATTTCTATTCTACCATTTTGGATGCACCTGGTTACTGCTCTTAACTTTTTGATTTAAATATTTCAAATGTCTTCATTTTGTTTGCTTGTTATTGTTTCTCATGTTAAGGGTGGTGTCATATCCTATTCTTAATTAACATCGAAGTTGTTGTTGTTGTTGTTGTTATTATTATAGAGATCCAAGAATTTTGATGGGATCATATTTTTTCATATTTCAGGTTGCATTTAGGACGAAAGTCTTCCACCCAAATATTAATAGCAATGGAAGTATATGTCTGGATATTCTTAAAGAACAATGGAGCCCAGCACTAACTATTTCTAAGGTTTGATATTACTGTTTGGTTCCTGTTGGCTCTTTCAATAATTGGAGTTTAGTTTCAGTAACTAGATTCTAACACAATGCAATTTTGAAAAGTAGTCTATACATTGCACTCAGCAATCAGAACAAAGCTTTGCTAGGAGTTTCCATGTGCTTGACCCTGGCATCTCATTTCAATTACAACTCTTAAATTTTTGCCTGGCATCATAAGATACATATCACTGCAGTGTGTTGTCTCTGCTGTTCTTTGTCATATTTATTTCACTTCACTACATGGTTTTGTTTGGTTAAGGACTCATGCAATTGATGGTTTGATAGTTTTATTAGATTGGGGTTTGGCGTGCATGCATATGGACTGTTGCTTGGTTTAGGAGGTTGTATCTTGCTTTAATAACGCCATGGTGATGGACTTGGTTACTGAATTAAAATTGATGACAAAAAAGAGATTTTCTTGGGACCTTATTATGACTTGTTATAGCAATAGAAATTTGCAACTTTGCATGCGTAGGGTGCTAAGTTTTGCAATTTGATATGCTTTACATGCTGGTAGGTCCTGGCATGGCGAGGTTATAAATATTCAAGTTTTAAGTAGCTGATGATGCTTCTTTCTTATTAAAAAACTCTACTACACATTGCAGGTGCTGTTATCCATTTGCTCCCTGTTGACGGACCCTAACCCAGATGATCCACTCGTACCTGAAATTGCTCATATGTACAAGACTGACAGGGCCAAATATGAAGCAACTGCACGCAGCTGGACTCAGAAGTATGCAATGGGTTGATAATGATAGATTGCTCTGGAATTGTTCAGAAGTGGAAATTGGGTCTTTTGTGGTTCTAATCTTATTTAGGGTAAAAAAATGTCTTAAGAATGTTTGTTGTTTTTGTTTTTGTTTTTGTTTTTGTTTTTTGTTTTTTGTTTTTTGTTTTTTGTTTTTTTTTTTGAAATGTGATTCAAAGTTGGGAAGCAACATAATTACCATCCTGTGAATATTTATTGTGAGACGTTTAGAGGAGGAGAAAACTGTAATTTACTGTTGCTGTGTCGATCAGGAGGTTGTATGGTCTTATATTATGTTCCAATTTGGCTGTGATTGAAATAAAAATAATGCTTTTAGACTATATATTGCAGTGATTGAGAGGCACTCTCAAATGCAACTTTATTTGTTAATTTGTTATTTATACTTGCATTCTTAAGTGTTTTCCTCGGAATGTCTTTGAGTTACTAAAAAGCAGTGT